AAAAAAACTTTTTTTCCTTCTGTACCTATAAGACTTTTATTTGTATATCACTAATTTTTTTGATTGCTTAACCTCTGTTCTCACAGCTTCTTATGTGACACTGTAGCATCTGAGAATAGTGCTTATTAACTGTAATCTTTGTCCTTTGATGATTTGTGTGTGTGCTTTTAAAGGCATGATGAGAGTAAGATAAGGAAAGCGTATTTCAGATTGGCCCAGAAATACCATCCAGACAAGAATCCGGAGGGCAGGGTACGTACAGCAACACTGCGTCTCATTATTAGTGAATGAATAATAAACTCTAACCAGTCTCGCTGTGTGTGTGTGTGTGTGTTCAGGACATGTTTGAGAAGGTCAACAAGGCCTACGAGTTTCTGTGCACCAAATCGGCCCGTATTGTGGACGGTCCTGACCCAGAGAACATCATCCTGATCCTCAAAGCCCAGAGCATCCTGTTCAACAGACACAAGCAGGGTTAGACGACACGCTCCTCTCAGACACAGCTCCTGATCTCCAGACGCTCAGAGACTGATCTCTTCTCTCTCTCCTCAGAACTGGAGCCGTATAAATACGCCGGCTACCCCATGCTAATTAAGACCATCACCATGGAAACGGGTGACGGGCAGCTGTTCTCCAAGACCTCGGCTCTGTTACCGGCTGCTGCTGAGCTGGCCTTCCACACCGTCAACTGTTCAGCGCTGAATGCGGAGGAGCTGCGGCGGGAGAACGGCATCGAGGTCTGCATGTGTTGACATTACCAGCAGCAGTCACACTGTGGCTCTTCACTGTCTGCTGAGTGTTGATGAGGCTTGTGTGTTGTGTGTCAGGTGCTGATGGAGGCTCTGTCTCGCTGCGTGTCTGTGCTCACCGCCTCCAGCAGACCGGAGGACATGGCAGTGCAGGTACATCAGGTACATCAGACATGTGAGATGCGAAGAGAGTGGCGCTTCGAGGAAGCTCAGTGAGCTCATGCTATCGGTGCTATCGGTGTGTTCTTCAGGTGTGTGGGCACGTCTGCAGGTGCTATAGCGTCGCTGCTCAGTTCGAGGAGTGCAGAGAGAAGATAGTCGAGCTTCCCAACATTATCAGAGATGTTTGTCACATTCTCTACTACAGCAAGGTAAGAACACACATCGCTTTATTACACGAATCTGACTCCTGTCCACTGTCAGAGAGCAGGACACATCTCATTCTTTTGCAAATAGAACACCACTATCTGTATAATTTAGTTATGGACTTGATATAAAACGTGACACTTGCTCTTAAAAGGGTCATTTTGTACTTATGTAGAAAATCTTGTATTATTAGTAAGGTGTAGGTAAATATTATTAATAAGATCACTTAAAATGTTGGTCAAGATTTCTTGTATCAAAAATAAAATAATTTTATTATTAAAATTATTATACATTGTATATTATTTATTACTCCATGGTCTGTCTGAATACTGGATTCTGATTGGCTGGCAGGTATGCAGTAAAACCGTTTAATGCACAGGTAGTTCCAAATCAGTTTAATCACCGTTCTATATTAATGCGCTGCTTTAATTGATGCACACTAACCAACACATACTCGCGCACACACACACACACACACACATACTCGCGCGCGCGCAACCACTGATCATTCAGACACCAGATATTGTTTTACTAGTAGCAGGACACTATAGTTCGTCTATGTAAGCGAGGATAGCAAAATAAATAAACTGTGACGTACCCAAAAATTTGGGACCGAAAATTATTCAGACACTCAATGTGTTTTCTTTAATTTCTAATGCGACCTTTTTAAACCACAGACTGAACAAAATTAAGCAAGGCTATGTAATTGGTTGAGCTAAATTGGTATTATCTAATTGTGTTCTTAAATTTAACAGCGGAATTCATTACATACCTTTCTATCAAAGTTATCTGACATTATCAAGCTGAATTTGTTCTGACAGTTTAACTCTGAGTTCTTCTCGTATTTTATTACCATTTTCTAAACTATAAGGAATAAACTGTGATAATGTGAGAAATGTTGAAGGCGTCTGAATAAATTTTGGTTTGACTATCTCATAAATCTGGCTTTTTTTCTTGCAATTCTGAGAAAAAAGTCAGAATTGTGAGATATAAACTCAACTCGCAATTCCGGTTTTTTGTTGTTGTTGTTTTTTTCTTTAAAAAAATCAAAAAGGCAGTTGCAACTTTTTGTGTCACAATTCCGAACTGTTTTATATTGTGCAACTCTGAGATGATAATAAGAAGCATGAGGGAAAAAGTCAGATGCGCAAGATGTAAAAAATACCTTTTTTAATTTTTTTTATCCAGTGGTAGAAACAGGATTCCATATGAATGCCATTGTGTTAAATAACAAAATATTACAAGTGGCAAAAAATAAATGCAAAAGTGTGTGAAAACTTCTACTTCAGAAGAAAAAGGTCTAGAATCATCTGATCATTTCCTAAGCAAAGACATTCAGACATCTTCATGCGTTGAAATATGTTTAAACATGCGTTTTTTTCTGTCTTCTAAATAATAATGCTCACTGTGTTTGTGTGTTTAGGGACCAAGATAATGCCATTATCAGGCCTTTACCAAAGGTGAAGAGACTCATCAGCGACAGCACCTGCCTGCCGCACATCGTCCAGGTACACATCACTAGCTCTGTGTTCCTCTAAAGCACTGTTTCTAAAGCCTGCTGACATCGCATGTTCATTCTCCTGTCCTTCAGCTGCTCTTGACCTTTGACCCCATCCTGGTGGAGAAAGTAGCTAACCTGCTGTACCTGGTGATGCAGGACAACCCTATCCTGCAGCGGCTCTACCTCACCGGAGTCTTCTTCTTCATCATGATGTACACCGGCTCCAATGTGCTGCCCGTGGCACGGTACTCTCCCTGCATCTCAGGCCAGAAAACTCAGCTCTGTGTCCTCTAGCAGTGCAGTTTCAATCCTGATGATGTGCTGCAGAGAAATTACATTTATGTTTCTGATAGCTTGCCATATGCGTAAATATGTTCTTCTCTGTAGGTTCTTGAAATACACTCACCTGAAGCAGGCCTTTAAATCAGAGGAGGTAAAGCAGATCTGACGTCTCACACAGTGCAGTTAAACACGGATGACACGGTAAATCTGAGCATGTGTTTGACCCGCAGGCTAAAGGTCAGGACATCGTTCAGAGGAGCGTGTTGGGCTCGATGCTGCCGGAGGCCATGGTGTGTTACCTGGAGAACTACGAGGCCGAGCGCTTCTCCGAGATATTCTTGGGAGAGTTTGACACGCCTGAAGCCATCTGGAGCAGTGAGATGAGGTCAGCTTCTCGTTCCTCGCTCTAGAACTCCTGTGCTGTGGGTCCAGGATTTATGGGTTTCGTACCACTTGAATTTGTCTTGATGAACACTAAACACCAAAAATTGAAACTGTATTTTAAAAAAACAAACAAAAAGGTTTAAATGATTTAAATTACATATTTTTAATTTTAGGTAAAGTTTTAGTAATTTTGTTGTTTTTGTTTGTCATTTTTTTTATTAGTTATATACACAGTTTCTATTAATTTATTTCAATTTTAGTTATTTTAGTACATTAAGTTAAAGTAATTGAAATTGAGAAGTGAGATGAGGCGAACATCTAGACTTCTGTGGATCTAGAGGCGTTTTTATATTTCTGTGTGTATTTTTATGGTTCATATGTGTTTTGTTCCACTTGAATTTGTCTTTATGAATTCTAAATACTCAAACTAATACCTAAAGTAATGTTTCAGTTATAAAAAAAAATCTAAAAATGAACTAAAATATATTTTTAAAAGATATTTTACTTTTTTCCTTTGTTTCTCTGAAAATTAAAGAGATTTTAGATGGGTAAACCTGTGTTATTAGTATCCTTGAGATACTATTATAGGTTTTGTTAATATTTTGAATTAGATTTTATTTTATACTTTCTGCTTTCAGTTTGGCTTAAACATTTGTATTCATTTTTGTTGTTTTTAAATGTCTATATAGTTTTTATTAATTTTTATTTCAGTTTTAGTTATGTTAGTACATCAAATTAAACTAAATGAAAATGACAAAAATTGCCGTGTTGACTAGGTGAGTATTTTTTATGTTAGCATTTATTGTATTCCAACAACAAACATGTTCTTTATGGTTTTATTTAACTATGCTAACCCAAAGGTAAACGTGGTGAATTAGCACAGAAGACGTGCTCCTTCATGCTGGTTGTTTGTGGTGTGTGATGACAGGCGTATGATGATCGAGAAGATCGCCGCTCATCTGGCAGACTTCAGTCCTCGTCTGCAGAGTAACACTCGCGCTCTCTATCAGTACTGTCCCATTCCTGTGGTCAGCTTCCCTCAGCTGGACAACGAGCTCTTCTGCAACATCTATTACCTGCGGCACCTGTGTGACTCCAGCCGCTTCCCCGACTGGCCCATACGAGACCCGGTACACACATCTACAGACACATTCAGAGCCTGCTTTCCTGTGTGATGCGAAGGCCTTCTGTGATGGTCTGTGCTCTGCAGGTGAAGCTGCTGAAGGACACTCTGGACGCCTGGAAGAGAGAGGTGGAGAAGAAGCCGCCCCCCCTCCATGTGGATGACGCCTATGAAGTGCTGAACCTCCCTAAAGGACAGGGACAGTGAGTCCGACACGCTCTTGCTGTTAAAGACAAAAGAGCTCACTTTTTTAGTACTTTATTTGTACACTTGTTGTATTTGTATTTATTATTTGTGACCCTGGACCACAAAACCAGTCATAAGTGTCAATTTTTCGCCTCGCTCTCTCAGCCGCATCCACAGGACACGCACAGTGCGCCTTTTACAGTCAAACCACTGATCATTCAGACACCAGATATTGTTTTACTAGTAGCAGGACACTATAGTTCGTCTATGTAAGCGAGGATAGCAAAATAAATAAACTGTGACGTACCCAAAAATTTGGGACCGAAAATTATTCAGACACTCAATGTGTTTTCTTTAATTTCTACAGACCGGAGGACATGGCAGTGCAGGTACATCAGCACAAACACACATGTGAGATGCGAAGAGAGTGGCGCTTCGAGGAAGCTCAGTGAGCTCATGCTATCGGTGCATTGTGGGTGTTCTTCAGGTGTGTGGGCACGTCTGCAGGTGCTATAGCGTCGCTGCTCAGTTCGAGGAGTGCAGAGAGAAGATAGTCGAGCTTCCCAACATTATCAGAGATGTTTGTCACATTCTCTACTACAGCAAGGTAAGAACACACATCGCTTTATTACACGAATCTGACTCCTGTCCACTGTCAGAGAGCAGGACACATCTCATTCTTTTGCAAATAGAACACCACTATCTGTATAATTTAGTTATGGACTTGATATAAAACGTGACACTTGCTCTTAAAAGGGTCATTTTGTACTTATGTAGAAAATCTTGTATTATTAGTAAGGTGTAGGTAAATATTATTAATAAGATCACTTAAAATGTTGGTCAAGATTTCTTGTATCAAAAATAAAATAATTTTATTATTAAAATTATTATACATTGTATATTATTTATTACTCCATGGTCTGTCTGAATACTGGATTCTGATTGGCTGGCAGGTATGCAGTAAAACCGTTTAATGCACAGGTAGTTCCAAATCAGTTTAATCACCGTTCTATATTAATGCGCTGCTTTAATTGATGCACACTAACCAACACATACTCGCGCACACACACACACACACACACATACTCGCGCGCGCGC